CCCGTGCCTCGCTCAGCCAGTGAGCGGGAACCGGTCTGCACGTGGGATCCGAACCCTTGGGTGGGAGCGCCGCCGTGCTTCCCAAGCGGTGCACTATCCAGTGCGCCACTGGGCCGGCCCTACTACTATGCATTTTCTAAAGGCTGAATATTGTTATATTATTTCTGAAACAAACCTTGGTATTGTAAATGGTGACTATTACAATTTCTTATTTGGAGCAAAATTTAGAAAAAGATATTACTACAAATATCATTCAATAAAGAATTTTACTTTTACTCGGCAGTTTCTCTAATTTTAGGTAGCTCCATCAAAACAATATGGCATTATAGTACAAAATAATGCCTCAGTGATCCACAACAAAATTCTTCAAATTTTTTACTGTATATCATTCCCATGTATTTTAAAAGATAAACAGAAAGCCTCATAACCCAAATATGGGATCTCCATTACCAGAAAATTAAGGGGCTCTTTTATAAAGTACTTCAAGAACAGAAATAATGCAGTAAAGCTTCAACTACACTAAGCTCTAGCCTCCCCCTGAAGAAATGTCTTAGTACATTCTTGAAAACCCTACATTCTATAACACTAAAAATAACAAAGAAAAAATGAGTACAGGAGAAGAGAGCAGGGTACCTTGGGGCAGATTACTTAATGCCTCTGTAACTTTTTTTTTTTTTTCCTTTTTGTCTTTTTCCATGTCCGGCAACGGATCTCAACCCTCAGTGTCACCCCCGTACCGGACCGGGACAGGCAACAGGATCGCAACCCTCGGTGTTGCTCCCGCGCCTCACTCAGCCAGTGAGCGGGAACCGGTCTGTATGTGGGATCCGAACCCTCGGTGGGAGCGCCGCCGCGCTTCCCAAGCGGCGCACTATAGGAGTGCGCCACCGGGCCGGCCCCACCTCTGTAACTTTGTAACCACAGTAATAACAAAAAAAAAATTGGGACCTGCAGAGATAACTTGGACACCCCAGTCAGGAAGCTAAGAGAAGCTGGAATGCTACCTCAGAGCATAACAAAAGGTACTAAAAACAATGAAGGAGAAACAGGATTTATGTGACTTGAGAAGTGGAGCTTTTAAGCCAGTAGGGCTGCTGTTAAGGTGTACACAAAAGGAAATGTAAAATGCCACTTGCTAAGAGTACCTGCTAGACCAGGGTGTATCTCCCTGGGGAGGGAGCCCCTGCTGCAGGTTATCATTTTTAATTAAAAACAAAAGACCAAAAACAGGCAGCCTGCGCAGCAGCAGAATTGAAACCTTTTTACTTTCCTGATGAAGTATAAATTTCAACCCCTATTATTCAGGCTCCTCTTATCTAGAGAAAATCATATATAAACCAATACACCACCCATATTACACTAACACTATCCTCCTATTTACCAGTAGTGTGTAAGCTAACTGATTGCGGAGGCATCAAATTGTAGCAGAACAGACTATACTGTGGTCAATTAAACACATTTACATACTTTAGTTTATATCTCTAAAAGAGAAAAGGAAGTTATTAAGGTCAAGACCAAAGTTCTATAGTCATTGACAGTAAAATTCCACTGTTCAGAATGCATTAAAATGTTAGATGATCTAACTATGAAAGACAGTTCATCCCCAATCCTAGTCTTTCTTTTTTTCCTTTTCTTCTTTTTTTTTTTTTTTGGCGGCTGGCCAGTAAAGGGATCCAAACCCTTGCCCTTGATGTTACCAGCACCGCAGTCTAACCATGTGAGCTAACCAGCCAGCCAGTTAGTCTTTCTTAAACATTCAACTCATACACAATTTGGACATGGTATTATATTTATAAGAGGAACTAGGAGAAACAAGATTTCTACATTACTGCATAGGTTGTTTTACTAAGTTTAATAATCCTACAGTGTCCTCTCTGGAATTTGTATTTTTCAAACCTGACTCTATGATAGGCTGTTAAGAGGGAAATTATGGGAAGGTGGTATTCTTAAATCTGTGAATCCCCAAGTAAATACAGAGAACTAAAAAGGCAACAAAAACCCAAGGGCAGTATTTACAACAAAACCAGGAGACCAGGTAACCCCCATCCCCCACCCCCGCTCCAAACTCCAAAATGCAAGCAGATGAGGAAAAACCAATAGCCATAACAGCTAAATGCCCACAAATACCAGTGCAGAAGAAATCAGAGGGATGCAACAAGGTGAGTGGCACACCTGATAACTGGAGAAGCCCAAAATACCTAACCAGCAGGTATTCACTGGAAGCATGGCAGGCCAACTTGAGAACAGCAGGTGAAAGAGGGGAGGATTTCCTGCCAACTCCAATAGCAAAGGGGATCCACAGTTTGAAATGAAATGACTAGAATAGTTTTGCTCCTATGAACTCTTGAAAAATTGACCAACTATGGCTCCCTTCCAGAATAGGGCTCTACACTTACGGGAAAGTGCTGGGAGTGGAATCAAAATTGAGCAGGACAGGCACAATAGAGAGGAAAGAAAGAGAAGTTCTAAATATACAGGGGGTAGAGATAAAGACGTAGGAAAACTCAAAAAGCACTGCTATTTTCTTAACACTACACAAAAATAAAAAAACTAGTTTGAAAAGATAATCTGAACTACTCAACCTTCCAAAAAGTCAGAAAAACTAAAATTGCTTAAAAATGAAACGGAAAAAAAGTGTAAACGTCAAATCTCACACAAAATTATTCTAATAAAACACACATGGAGGGCCGGCCTGGTGGCGCACTGCTACAGTGCGCCGCTTGGGAGCGCAGCGGTGCTCCTGCCGAGGGTTCGGATCCCACATACAGACTGGTTCCCGCTCACTGGCTGAGCGAGGTGTGGGCGCAGCACCGAGGGTTGCGATCCTGTTGCCGGTCCGGTCCGGTACGGGCGTGACACTGAGGGTTGCGATCCGTTGCCGGACACGAAAAAAGACAAAAAAGGAAAAAAAAAAACACACGTGGAGTAGAATACCACCTCTCAACAAAGCAAGCATGCCAGAAAACCATGCATAGAGAACAGATCAAAATTATAACATTCTATTTCAAAACAAGACAAAAGACATTAAGAAAATATAAGACACATACCAGAGTTAGAAAAACTCAAATAGAACTATCAGAAGAATTAGAAATAAAAGAAAAAAATCATTTTGGAAATAAAGACTAAACTAGAAGGGATGCAAGGATGAGTAAACAAAATGGATTATGCTTTTAAGAGAAACAGAAAGAAAAATGGGGGAAACTTTCTAAAAAAGAAATAAAGATAAAAAGAAATCAAGAAAATTTGACAGATATTGAAGACAAAGGTGATAAAACAGAAAGAAAATAGCAATCCCTGAAGAAGGAAACCAAAGCAAAAGCATGACAACAGAAGAAATACTAAAAAACTTTTCACAAACAAAAAAACTTCAAACTTGAAAAATTTTGTTTTATTTTATTTTCTAATTGACAAATAAAAATTGCATATATTTATCATGTATAACAAGTTTTGAAATATATATACACTGTGGAATGGCTAAATCAAGCTAATTAACATATGCATTATTGCACATACTTATTTTTTGTGGTGAGAACACATAAAATCTACTCTCAGCAATTTTCAAGAATACAATACATTGTTATTAACTATAGTCACCATGCTGTAAAATAGATCTAACAGAACAAAAGAACTAGAAATAAAAGAAAAAATCATTTGGAAATAAAGACTAAACTAGAAGGGATGTAAGAGTGAGTAAACAAAACATTATGCCTTTAAGAGGAATAGAAAGTATAATGGGGGAAACTTTTTAAAAAAAGAAATAAAGATAAAAGAAATCAAAAAAAGACATTAAGAAGTTATGAGACACATTGC